CAGCACTGAGTGATCAAGGTGTCACATGAAATATCATACTTTCTAGTTTTATGTGTATATTTTACATTTTCGTTTCCTACTCTATGGTAAACTCCAGATATGACCTTGGCGTTTGTTCAAAAATTTCATAGAATTACCAAAGTCACCAAGGTGCTTATACAGTACCGTATATTGATGCTGATACTTATATATAGCATCTACCGGTTTCTCTATAAATATATTTATATAAATCATTATTGAACTAAACCTGAATTTATAATGACTTACAGAATTAACTTATGATAAATAAATGTCAAAAATATAGCTTTCAAATGTAAACTTTACTGTAAATTATGAATACTGTAACTATTCATAGATAGTATAACGTGAATGCACACTACGGTATCTAAATATTCATATCGCAATATTCAGTCACATTTAGATGGGATGTTGAAACACTTGATTAGTCTATTCATTATCGATAACGTGTTGAATAAAATATATTTAAATATCAAATGAAAATGAGTTTTTCAAATTATTCAATATACAAATCGGTTACCATATTGGTCGATATTTTATATTGATAAGCAAAGTTAGTGTATCTGCTTTCATATGCCGTCAATTGTTTTCTACTGCACTGTATCATAGAATACTGTATTGAATATAATAGTGACTTATTTTAATCAAATTCAGTATCAGTTGTTTTGCTACTATAATGACAGCACAACACTGTAATGACAGTACTATGTGTTGCAATCACTTCCAATGCACTGCAATAGTATGATTTGATTACAATATTTTAAAGTTATACTGCACACTATTAACAAATAGGTTATTCAAATATAACTTATTGCTAGCTTAAAATGCAAATCCAAAAATCACGTGTCATTCCGGACTTAATAATAAGAAAATAATGTCAATTTTTAAATCATTTTATTTTCAAAACAATAAATGTAATACTAATCACATTTCAATTAAATTCAATATAATATATGGTATTAAAAGCTTAATATAAAATATTATATTTATTTGTAATATTAATTGCATATAAACTAATTTTGGACCAAAAATTACTATTTCTTATAATTTAAGTGACAAAATGGACTAAAATAAGGCACATATTTATAAATCTTAATAACTCTCATACAGTATATAATATAAAGATTTGAAGTTTTAAAACAAATCAAACCTTTATTTATTAACAAATCATTTAACAATTAATTCGTTTTCAAATAGAAACCAATATATAGTCTATGTTTCCATTGAATATTAATGAGCAAAAAAGTAAATCATATCATAATATAAATTATTTATAATATCATAATTGACAAACAAATCAAAAAAACCGATCAAAAGGTTGGAATGTTTCGGACAACTTTTCCTAATTTATAAATTCATTCATAACATAATTAAACGTATTCTTACTAACCATTCAAATGTCATAATAAATCGATTATATAATACACAACTTATATAATGTAATAATTTATCAAAAAATCAATACACAAATCATAGAATAAAATTTCATAATCAAATGAACTCAAATAAATGTTTGCAATAAATGGATATAAATTGATAATAATATGTAATAATAGTATATAAATCCCGAACACAAGTGAATGCAGAGACTGTTGGATAATTGGAGAAATGTCTGCAAATGGTTATAATCTAATCACTTGAGATATACTTGAGATATCATCTAATATCTAAGATATACTCCATTGCGGACATGAATGACATGTATGACTAGTCCACTCCTCCAACTTTCATAGCTCTAAATAAGCCTATTATTTGACAACTCGACTAAATGAATGCTAATTATTATGACAGTAATTGCATAAATCTGTAATATATATAAACTATTTGAACATTTAGTTCAATCGAGTATAAGGTGTGAGCAAAACAAAAGGCAACCCATAAACGTCTTGAGTATAATATGGACATAATTAGGCACATATGGCATAAGGCATTGAACACCAAACTTCGCACTAATTGGCTATCATTTCAATCTAATTATATTTGTATTCAATTTGACTCCAAATACAAACATTTATAAAACAAATACAAATCATTGTTTGATTGTTGAATAGTTGACAAAACCCTAACTTTATTGATGATGAAAATCATTGAATAGGATAATGTCATGGGATGAGCAAACGGAGAGGTATTGTATTCAAGTGTTGAGCTATGGCTATGGCTATGGCTTATGTACTGACTGTCAGTGATATGTTCTGAACACTACTTGTGGTGACACTCTGTCTCTCGAGTTCGCCGACTGCCACACCGGCCAATAAGTACAGACAACTGAACGGCTCATCAGTCGATGAGGATGCAGATGATGGCAATGGAGAGACCTGTGAGTGAACTGTAGGCGTCGATGTCTGGTTCAGCCAATTCACGATTGATGTGTTTGAGCTTCGGGTTGGGCTGAATGACAAGTCCAGAGCACTCGGCTTACGACTGTTACCTGAGTAATGTTTGCTGCCTATTGATTGGTGGCGAATCTGATCCATCATCTGGTCTTCTTCGTGATTCTTCCTCCACCTCTTCGTTAGTTTCAGCGGTGAGTCTGTGGGACAACACATCACTACAATTGTCACAAATCATCAAATGAGCGCCAAATCACTTACCCGTCCAAGACGTACCACTGGATGATGAGGTGCTGGGAGGTCTGCTACATGTGCTGCCATATGAGCTGATGGCAGTGCTTGTAGTGCTTCCACTGTCAGACATGGCATCGATTTCACTTTCAACAGAGCTATTGCTGTCATCGTTGCAGTGTCTGAACAAAAGCACAAAACATAGCAATTCATTACAAACTCTGCTTTTGTGTCACATTTCAAAGCAATACATGTCTGCTGTACAGCAATAGTCACCTCTTATTACCTGTTATTAGTTGTGACAATATATCCGAAGCCATCCTCAGAGGCGGAAGAGTTGGAACCATTGCAAGAGTCGGTCACATTGCTCTGACGCCTGTTAGAGCTCTTGCGAGTGATTGTGAACATCAGCGGATCGTTACCTTCTTTGCGGATAATGTCCGGTAATATCCTTCTCCTGGCGTTTATAAACCAATTGCAGACCTAAACATACATTGCATTCATCACTACATCTAATATACTGCAACCCATTCACAGCATTTCCGTTTGCAAACTATCACTTTCACCATGACCCATTTACTGTACTGACCATTATCATATACAAAAGTTAATGTACAAGGGCTATACTATTATACTATGTTTCAAAGGCATATCAATATTTATGAACAACAAATGCATAGCATGGTTATATAACTGTAATGTATATATAAAGTGTAATTATGATAGTTAGACAAAAACATAATAAAAGTAATCATTTGCACTGCAGCTCTACTATTGAATACAATAAACGCGTGTATAGTGTGTATAGTCTGTATAGTCTAATAGCCAGTGATAATGAGGTCATCGTTGAAGTCATTGTCTACTGTATGAGTGATCATAAAGTGGTGAATACCTGAAGAATGGAGAGGTTGGCGGCCTGTGAGAGGTATAGCTTCTCCTGATCGGACGGGTAGGCATTGTACCGGTGCTCATACAACCACATCCTTAGTATTTTGACGGACTCTTTGGGCAGATTACCCCTCCGTTTCCTACCTGTGCTGTCGCTGTTGGACGACTGGAACCCATATTTGGACGAGTCTTTCATAGCTATCAATGAATGCACTGTTGGTGTCGAGTGACCACACAATCGGCGATTGTCTCGCCCTTTGGTTCACTGATGAATGCACTGCTAGTGGGGATGTGTTGGATGTGTTGGATGTGATGACAATTCAAATGTCAATTACATTGGCATTCATATCAACACAAGTGAGGCAAAGGGACAGCACGTAAACCATGTGTGTCTACAACACTATCATATCATATACAACACAACTCACTGTCAATGCGTCCGATATGTAACTGACTCTCAAAGCAGTCAATGCAGTCCACAGAGCATTGCTTCCACTCAACCGCGAACTCCTCTAACTATACCTCACGAGTCGTATAGACAATGACACACAAGTCCTACTAAACCGCCCGTCCGCGCCCCACCATCTCATTTATGATACCATTGATCACATCATTTCATTTATGATTACATTTCTATTCATTCTCTATTTATATTATGTGTCCAAACCAACATTTATATATACAACTCTTAATAACTACTTTTTCTATATTAAGCTCTGAATAAAATATGTTAAGTATATGCAATTATTTAAGGCGATTCTTTTTAATATATATATTTTATGGGACGTGAAATTATTTTTAAACAACATGCTATTCTGTTGTATCACACTAACTATGCCATATAAATTATGATAAAAGAAAGATTGTATTCAAAATCCTTTTAATTATAAAATAAACAAGATTTCGGATTAGGATATCAATAAATAACATTTATTTGTTTCTTATTCTCAAAATTCGAACCTTGCACAATATTTACTTTATAAAAATTCTTTTAAATAACTATAAACATAGTTAGTTGCAAATATACTATAACTTATAAGTTATAACATTTATTAACATTGAAACTTATCTTGAAATTTTAACTTGCTCAGTAACATACTGGCAATAACTATATTCCAT